ACATTTATACATTTAAGATCTTAGTCAGTAGTCATCTACTTTGAATAATTTGTTAAGGAAACTTCAAGAAGGCAATATCCATGGAAAACAAAAATCCCAGGTAGTTGAAATTCCACTAAGAGTGATCTATGCACTTAACTAAGGGTGATTGTGAGCCCCTAAACAGGTTTCACAGAGGGAATATCGAAAAGGTTGCGCTCTTCCTATTAAGCCATGGTGTTATCTTACTCACTCCCCTTGTTGCCTGACACCTGACACCTGCACCTTCAAGGTGGAGAGCTTCTTTCTGGCTTATATTTTCAGTCCATGGTTGTCTGGCTCTGAGACCAAATGATGTGGCAGAGGGGCCCGGTGGAGAAGAGTGCTCATGTCCTGGGGGCCAGGAAGCAGAGAGAGGGAAGGGAGGAGCCAGGGAGACAGGCCCTTCCTGATCGCAGCCCCAGTGACCGCCTCGAACCAGGCCCAGCTCCCAGCAGCAAGTTACCTGTAGCGCCCCATACTTCACCTTCCAGAAGCTCCATCACAGAGTACAGGAGGAGCCTTAGACAAGGGGATGGTTGTCATGAGTTCATACCAAGTTGAGAGTGCAACTTCTGCAAAGACCAAACAAAATTCTAGGTCTGAGAGGTGGAGGAGACTGTCCTGCTGATGTCACCAGGAAAAGAATCAATAAACACAAAGCTTGACAGGTTTCACTGGACATTTAACATCAGCTTCCATGGAAAACTGTGTATTATTCAATAATCCCTCAGTGGTCTGAAGGAAAATCATCTCTGAAATGTAAGGAGAGCATTGGATGATGAACCAGGTAGGATTCATAACCTTGAGCACAGACCATAAAACCTAGTCCAGTTTAAGACAATAGAAGATAACATTATGAAATGGTAATTGAGTTCTTTTAAGGTATTTGGGGCTTAGCAGTTTGTGTAGACATTAGATAAATTAATCCCTAGGAGATACACTAATCTATATAAACAAATTAGCTATAAACTACAATAATGAACTTTGAACTAAGTAACACTTGCAAAGAAAAAGCCAAACAGTCTAGCACTGTGCATTATGGAGATACACACAATGGAATGAAAGTGTTGATTTCATTTAATTTGTTCCTTGATAATTTTTGAAGACTCTTGCAAAGAAAAAAAAAAACTATTTTCATTGTTGGTTTAGGTGGCACTGTGTAAAAGCTGCTATTCATTTCCAAAAATGAGTTTGTAATTGACATTAATGATTCCACAAACTCTTCACATAAGGAAAGGCCTACTGGAAACCAAAATTTGTATTTTAAATTCCCAAGTCCATTTTGTTCCATTACTGTTTTGTTTTGTGTTTCTTTTTCCTAAGAAGCTATCCCACAAAAAGCAAGAGGCTTCTGGACTGGGACTGGCTTGGTAACATTCCTAATAGCCTGGTTTTGATCCCCAGCACCAGGGGGAAAAAAATCAAGAGGGTCTGTAACTTTAGGATAACTAGAAGAAACATACTTTTCTGGAATTAAAATTTTCCCACGATTAACAAAGAATTGCTGTTCCTCAGTTTGACAGTTACTCAACACAGTTCAGTTGGTACATGTTCAACCCCTCCTCCAGGGGCCATTTCCTTTCCCTTATGGGAAAGGAGGAAGAAGGAAGGGAAGTGAAGGGGAGGGGAGGGAGGGAGGAGAGAGAGAGAGATTAAGGATATACCAACAGGTAGGCACTGGGCCAAGCATCTGACTTTCAATCGATAACAATAACCCACAACCTGCGGACCAACTCATCTGACTTTCATTATTCTGTTTAACCCCTGTGATATGACTACTCTTACCATTGCAGATGAGAAATTAGTCCAAGTAGTCTTCTAGCCAAGGTCACATAATCAGGCCCAAGGAAGTGACACGGCAGAATCGGAACACAGTTGTCTTCTCCAAAGCCTGTGTTCATAACTGAGCAGCATTTCCAACCCAAAGATGTTGCTTCTCTGGGTAACAACACTGGTACGAAAGTAGAGTAACTACTTGCCACTTCTGGGCACTCTCTTTTTTTTTTTTTTTTTTTTTTGTCTATACGTTGCCTAGGCTGTGATCCTCCTGCCTCAGTCTCCCAGAGTGCTAAGATGACAGGTCTTAGTCACCAGCATGATGGCTACTTTCTTCACTGTTTAGCATGGAGAATACAGAGAAGTCACCAATCCTGTTATAGAATAGAAATAATCTTAAGGTTAGTCTCCATCTTCCTAGCCATGCTTACTCCTTCCTTGGCCAAGGAGAACTCTATGAAATGCACCTTTGGTGCGGCAGTAGACCATAAGAGAAGAGCGCTGTGTTGCCCTTAGCATTCATTATAGGTTTTTATGTAAAGTGAACTAAAATTTGTTAAATGCGAAATTGTTTTTAAGAATAGCATGATATATGCTTAATCACGAATTCTCTGAGATCACAAAATAACACATGACTGACTTTTAGACAGTATGTGAAGAAAGACAGAAAGGCCCAGAAAGGTTAGTAACTTGCTCCAGTTACACAACTAGTGAGTAGCAGAATCACAATCCATACCCAGGCCTTCAGGTCTCCAGAGGGCTTGGGATCTTTCTAACACACCAGTAACTTTTACCTCAAGTGTGTGGCAGAACTACTCAAGCACATGTACGAAGTACGGGTACCCGAACTGCACCTCACCACTGTGGAATGAAACTGTCCCACAACTTGCCAGACACCCCTGCTACGTTCCAAAGTTGATAACTATACTATTTTACCACCTTCCCTTATGCTTTTATAGAAATGGTCCTCACTGATGCAATAGAAACTTCCAGGTTGGTTTTTTACATCTCCTGGGAATGACTAGCAAAATCCTAACATTCTGTGACTTTTTGGTAAAACTGTACATAGGGCGTGATGAGTTTCTGTTTTGAAAGTATTTTTCTCTGCTTTGATCTATAGGTACTTATTTGTTTTTTGTTGTTCTCAGAGTAAAGCTAACTTGTAGAAACTTTTGATTTGCTTTTATTCATCATTCCAGAAATTCTCTGAGGCTACTGTCTACTTTTGGAGTACCAGACATTGTACAGATTGTACATTAGTATAAAATACCTTGTGTTTTTCTCACCAAATAAAAAGTTTAAGCAAGTTTTGGTGTTTTGTTGGGATGAAATAATATAGTCATATTTCAAGAGATGGATTTGGCTCAAAGATGAATGAAACTCAAAGATTAACATGAGGAGAAAAGACAGGATTAGTTTCGATGACCTGCAGAAGTAAAAAGCAACCTCTGGTAGATCCTCGCAAAGCAAAGTACTGTGGATAACCACTCCATGATGGCCTAAAGATGACTACCAGATACCAGGACCCAAGTCCAGGGCCTTGCCCCGTTGTTCCAAAGGCATCATATACACGTGATGCTCCACCCTTCCCCCAGTTCCGGCTTTTCTGTCCTGGAGCCAGATGTTGACCAAAGTCACAGTCCACAGAATCCTAAATAAATTTCCAGTAAGTAATACCTATCAGGTAGACCCACGAAGAGCCTTCTACAAATTCAGTTGTTAAATGGGGAAATTGCATAAACTTTTCTTAAACCTATAAAAAATATCCAGCATAGGCTTGTTGTACAGTTAACATAAACTTGATACCAAAGGGACAAATACATTATGGTTAAAGCAAATATTTCTCATGTCTATGACTGAAATTAGAAGAACTATTTCTAGAATAGTTCTAGAAAAGCCAGAAAGACTGCTGTTGAGAAGCTGCCTAGGACACTTTGTCTACCTTATCAGTCCAGGCATCAAAAAACATTGAGGATTGACCTAACTTCTAAGTTATTTTCAGAATTGCAGTAATACCCACAGAAAGGGCTGACCTAATAGTGCGTAAAAATAGTAGCTCAGAGACAGAAGTGTGTTGGCTTCCCTGGCTGGCGTGTGAATCTGAGTCCCTTCCCCAGTCCTCTTCACGAGTTCCCCGATGGCCTCTGAACATAGTCTTGCCCGATGCAAATGGAACATGATTTCTCTGGAGACCGGATGCAACTTTGCATTATTCACAAAACAAAAGAAATCCTGGGGAGAGCTAGCTCTCCAGTGAAGGGAGGAAGCCTGCTCCTGAGAGTTAACAAAGAATTATGAAAGCATAATTTGGAATTTAGGGGACAAGGAATTTCGAGGGCAGAGGTTCTTGGTTACAGCTATTTTATGTTTGAAGCCACACACTAAATTTCACTTCTCTTAAGCTTTCTAAATGCAAACGTTTATATACTACAGCACAATCCTATCTTATCAAAATAGGCTAGAAACAAGACCATTTTTATTATAATTATGTTTTCTGAGAATGTGGAAAAATACCAGTTTAATCTAAGAATCTCTGCATGGAAGAAAAAGCAGAGAATCTGTTCCCTTTCTCCTTTATATGTGTAAGAATATTAAAAAATCAGTTAAGATCCCATAAAAACATATGAGCTCATGTACTTCTCATAACAAACATAAACAGCCATTTCTATTAGGTTGAGATTACATAAAGTTTTTGTTTCACCCATTACAAGTTGGCTTGATTTCTTGTTTCTAGTTATGTTTGTACTGCTAACGAATCTATTGACCTGAGTCAGTTAACCAAGTTTTTGGTAATTTTGCTGGTGATTTGTAAAGACTGGTAATTCTGCATTGAGAACAATAATTGGCCCCCCCAAACTGGAAGCTGTCCCCGCCACTTACAAACACGAGGCTGTCTGAGAGTGGGAAGGAAGGAGGATCAAGGCAGGATGTGGGTAACTTCCACTCCTTTAAAAGCTCAGCATAATCCCCTTGCTGGCTATTGGAGTGGACTGTTTGCAATGTTTTTTCACGTTAGAGAGGCAGGAGTTCTGCTAGCCTGGCTGGACCACAGGGAATGAAGCAGTGACTCTTGAATAGGTAGACCCGTTATGGGGTGATCTCAACTGAAAGCAGTTTCTGAGAAATACAATAAAATGAAGCAGTGCACTTGGAACAGTGTGGTGGTGACAATCTTTCTGTACTGATTTCTATTTATGTTTCAGCTCTTTGAGAAAGTCAAAGAAATTTGTCCGAACGTGCACGAGAAGATCAGACCTGTTAGTGCGGATCTTAACCAGCATGACTTTGGCATCAGCAAGGAAGACATGGATGAGCTTCTGTCCTCCACCAACATTGTCTTCCACTGTGCAGCCACCGTACGATTTGACGACCCTCTGCGGTACATTCTGGGCTCCTTCTCATGGCCTGCAAGTGTGTGTGTGTGTGCGTGTGCGTGCGTGTGTGTGTGTGCATGCACGTGTGCGCAAGTGTGAGATTCCTTATGGTTTCCATTCACAAGATTTATCTGCGTGTAACAGCCGCAGGTATCCTGTAACTGTGGAGCCACGGCCCATCCTTTTGTTTGTCCTTTAAGGCAGGCACCCAAGTCCAAGCGGCCGGGGAAGTTCCTGGCATGGTCCCTTATGGCGTCTCCCTGCTTACTCTGCAGACACGCTGTGCAGCTGAACGTCACTGCCACCCAGCAGCTCCTGTCCATGGCAAGCCAGATGCCCAAGCTTGAAGCCTTCATACACCTCTCCACGGCCTTTTCTAATTGCAACCTGAAGCACATAGATGAAGTGATCTATCCCTGTTCTGTAGAACCAAAGAAAATCATTGACTCCATGGAGTAAGTAGGGTCAAGGGGTGGGCCAGCAGCTGTTCTCTTGGATTCTTAGACATAGTTTCTCCCTTCTTGGCATTGTCCCTAGATAAAGGAAATATGATGCAGAGTATAAAATTTCAGGAGAAAATTGTTGGCATCAGAGGAACACAGGTTCAACCTGTGTCTCCACAACTTATAGCTGCATGAGTCGGAGCAAGTTTCTTGGACACTTCAGGCCCCATTCCATCTTGGTAAAATGGGCCCACCGCATGGTGGTGATGATAAATTCATGTTTGCAAGCAGCTGATTGATGGTAGGAAAGGAGCACTCTCAGAGATAACAGTGCCTCCAAGATCTGGCAGAAGGCCGTGGTCAGAATGGACGCCGAGCTGAAATATACTCTCCTTACTCTCCTCCTGCAAGCTCACTTGCATTTCTTCTTCCTACCGACAAAAAGAAACTACTTTCTCCTTGGGACTGGCTTTAGTCTCAAAATCAATACATTTCTGTTTTCTGCTTCTTTCTTCTTGTGCTCCATTTTACTAACTTTACCTGGTATTTTCTTTTTTAAACTACATAAAAATATTATAGAGGGAAAAATAACTACTTAATTCAGAATGAATTTGTCACATTGTAATGTCATACAATACTGTGCTTAGGTTTAAAATAGCCTCTTTACAAGGCTTTAGCTACATGAAGACTTTATTCCCTTCAGGACAAACATTTTTATATCCTCCAGGTCTAAAAACAGATGTTTTACCTGTCATTTAGAAATATCTAGGACGGAGGAATGAAAGTCACCTAAAGGATCTGGAATGACTTGGAGTTGCTAATAATTGACACTTTGCTTAATTGGTGTCAGGAACATGGCAGAGCCTGGATCTGTCTGGAGAGAAGGCGGGGTGGAGAAAAGGTGGGGTGAGCGATGCCTGGAATCTGCTCACAGCCTCGTGCATTTTCACAACAGAATAGGTCTGCGAGTCAGCGAGCTGCACTGTACTGCGCTGTCCCTTGCGAGGGCAGCATGTGCTCACTGGAGATGCCGCACAAAGGAACAAAACCTTTGACTGTAACCTGGCCGAGTTCCCGCACCCTGCGACATTGTTGGCCCCTATGACCCAGGAGGTCTGTGCAGTCAGAGGTGGGAAAGGAGTCCTGAGAGTTCACCCAGAAAGAGCTAGGAGCAGGGAGTTCACCCACAGCGAGGTCCCCCACAAGGTCTTTCACTCCCTGCCTCCCTCCCCAGCTGTGTCCAGACACGAACACCCCCAGGTTTCACAGAATAAGTTCACTTCCCAGGCGAGGAGGAGTTGGCTTGGCTTTAGGTCTTCAGTACTTCCTGTATCCTTCAAGTACACATGAAGGGCAAAGGTGTATGCATTATGACCCACTGTAACTGACATTTGTATTGCAGATTTTCAGGTGAAGGGTGCTCAACTAGTGTTAAATCATTTCAACCCAGATGTATTTACTTTGTTTCAGGAAACTATTTTATCTACTCAGAAGTGATGTTGTACACTCATAATCCCTACACCTTGGGAGGCTGAGGCAGGAGGATCACAAGTTTGAGCCAGGCCTGGGCAATTCAGCAACTACATGAGACCTAGCTCAAAATTTTAGTAATATCTTTAAAGAGTTGGTGGTGTAGCTTATTAGCTCAGTGTGAAGGCACTGGGTTCAAAGTACCACCAAAAGAGAGAGAGACAGAGGAGAGAACAAAATATTTTTTCTCTAATAAATTCCCTATTTAATTATTGACTTGTACTTAAAATAAAAGCTATCTTCCAAAGCTTGTAGTTTCCTGTTCCTTTGGAGATATTTATTAGGAGTAACCAAAGAGGACCAGCAGCTGTCTCTGCTCTTCCTACTCTGGTGGCTCTATTTTCTGAAAGAAGTCACGAGTTAGCAACAAGATAGTCAGCAAATCAGTGACAGCTAAGATTTTCCGCAATCAAAACAGTTTGGTTATGTTCTGTACCATGAAGTAGGAATAAAGGTACCAAATACATTAGTTACAAAATTCACACAAACACATTTAGGCAGCCTTAATTTTTTTTAAAAGTTGTGTTATATCCATTATTTAACCAAATAGATCTGCTAAGATAAACATTATATATTTGACCAAAAAATCATACTGAGAAGTGCCTGGGTTACAAGAGACAGAGCTGAGCTGCGTGTTTCTGTGTTTGATGCTGACAGCTACGCCCCGGGCTTGGGGCACCAGGGTGAACAGCGGGAAGCAGGGAGCTGAAGGCTGCCCCAGGGCTCTGGGAGGGCGGCCTCAGACAGGAGTGTGCCTGTGTGCTGAGGAACACCGTGTTCACACCAGGAGAGCTGAGCTATGCTGGGAAAAGTAGAAACTCAGTCTAGCACTTACACATTTCTTTTCAGGTTGGCCTCGGGATCATACCGATCAGCTGACCACGAGCCAAGCATTTATATTTGAATATCACCAGGCTTGAAACGGCAGTCAGAGCAGGGCTGCACTGTTTCCCTCATGAAGTGAGCAGTATTCATGTTGTCAGCCTGCTGGTGAGCCGTTCTGCATCCAGCACAGGGTTGGGCCAGGAAAGGTGTTTAAGAAAAGTCTGCAGAGAAATAGAGACTCATTCACCATGAGCACTAGGTCCAGACATAGCCTTCTGCCCAGTAAAAATTTCTGTTCACTCCGAAACTCACTCCACCACACTAGGTTGGTCACCACTGGCCTTTCTGCATCTCAGCTCTTCATGCTGCGGTTGGACATTTAACAACCTTGCGTCTTCACAGACACGCCCTCTGTTCTTTTCCCACATTCTCCCTACAGCCCCATCTCTTTTGGAGCTCAGCTGCACCGCGGACCTGGGGAATGTTCCTATGCAAATAATCCATGGCCATCTACTCCCCCAAAACCTTACGCAGGATGTCAATGGGCCGCACAAGGCCACTGTGTGGAAGAGTGTCATTCACTACTACGGTAGCTGGGTCCTGAGGACAGACAGCCGATTACACACACACTTTCAGGTGTAATCTCTGCTCTCCCAGTCTCACTGGCCAGTGGGCAAGCAGATACGTAAGCAAATACATACAGCACAATGATACAGCCATCGGGGAAGGCAAAGCCCAAGTTAAACGAGAATGCAAACGAGGGCTGGGGATATCGCTCAGTGGCACAGCCCCTGCCTAGGAGGTGTAAGGTTCTGAGTTTGATTCCTGGTACCAAAAAACAAAACGAGAGCAAGAGAGAATGCAAAGGTGGGCAGGAAGCAGCGCATCCAGACAGCTTTTCCTGAGGTCGCTGTAGACTTGCCAGTCTCTTTGCAGAAGAATATTAGGAGGAGATTCATTTTCTTCAGTCAGTCCATTCAGCTGCTATGTAAACAAAATCATTAATGATAGAATGTCAACACAACACATCGCAAAGCAAGACTGACAGTATAAACTAGATGTGTGTGTGCCTGTGTGTACATACAACAGACCCAGCCGCACTGCTGAGATCGACACCAACTTCATGTTTTTGCAACAATTTAAGTCCAAGTTCAGAATTGGGCGCCCATGGGAAGAAACAGCTCCCTGAGTACACTGACGAGCACTTGTTAATTACAGAAGAGAGCTCTGATTTATATGAAGTGTCTGCCATGCCTCTATTTACTGCTGAAATGACAGATGGAGAACACACAACAGCAGCACTCAGAACAGAGGATACGTCTTGAGGAGGGCCTTGCTCAGCCAGTGCCTGTGGAGGTTCGCATTAACCTCCTCTGAGTCTAGGAAG